TATTTCTGTCTATACGTCGGAGCAACTGCATATCCATGTCCATGAGATTTAACATATTCAATTCCATCTCGTTTTTAGACCAGTGAAGAGTGCAATGTCTACTCCACGCATTAGAAAACACAGTTGCTATATTATAATCGATAAAAAAGTTGTCTATAAATCGATAGAACTCTTACTACACATCCTATGATGATTTCTGTTGTATGTATATATATATATATATATATATATATATATATATATATATATATATATATATATATATATATATATGTTAAGGTGATGTGAACACCACTTGATCATTAACAGAAATTAGCAATTAAAATGGGGTGCATGATTTTGTCAGATGTTCTCAGAAAACGAATAAGATGCTGTGTTTATTAACATAGTAGCTCCAATCCACTTGCGAGAGCCTCAGTGTGTCGACTAGTGTTGTACGCAGAGCTTTCTTTTGTAGCCTCCTGGACTGCCAGCGTTAATGATTTTTAAACCTACTATTGTCCATCATTAATATATCTGCGTAAGTATTACTCGTCAGGTCAGGTCACTCCCGTAGCCTGATGGCCGTTGGGGCACTTTGATAAGTACACAATTCTCCGCCACCGCCCACGGTCCTGCGCTTCCCTGAGACAATCCACCACGCTCTTCCCCGCCCACTCTCCGATGTCAGACAGCCACGATCTCCTCGGTCGTCCTCTCCCTCTACTTTCATCAACACCTCCATGCATGATGTCGAATGCAAGAGTCCCCATCTTCCTACTGGTGTGACCGAACCATTGCAATTTCCTCCTCCTTGCCGTCTCCAACAGAGGCTCGGAGGTACCGATTTCGTTGGTGATCCTCCTTCTGACTTCAACACTGGTGATTTTCTGCCTCCACGTGATCCCAAGTACTCTTCTGAAGCAGCGGAGCTCAAAAGCAGATTTTCGCTTTTCCAGTGCTTTGCTGTGGGCCCATGTTTCGGATCCATACAGGGCAATTGAAGTGATGAGAGATTTCATCAGCCGAATCTTGACTGCGGTGGATATTGCACTTGAGCTCCAGATTCTGTACAACTTAGCAAGTTGGTTGGTAGCAATTTCTAGTCTTTTCTTTATCTCGGTCTCTGACGTAACACTCTCATTCAATGTAGAGCCAAGGTACTCGTAGTAGTTGAATTTTCCTCGATAGATATCATACTTCTAATCAATTCGGATTACTATAGCAGCTGGTATTGCTGGGTATGCTGTACAGATGGCGCTGCAAGAGGCCAGCCACCTCGGAGGCAATTAAACTCTAGTTGCCGCGCCTGATTTCCTAATTGTATATTGATATTGGTTATATAAGTTTACATGATGATTGCACATTACGTAATATTTACCGTAAATGCAGAACATATTACATGAATAACCATATAGTCTGCTATTGTAATACAGGAAGACATGTATACACATTTGGTCCAAAAGTCACCATACAAAAAAACGAACACACTGTGTGTGTTTGATTCTAATGATTCTAATGAAAATCACAAGATCAAATCAGCTTATAACGACTGCCAAACTCCCCGCATATCAATTAAGAACTCGAATGGAATACTTAGTGATGCAATATAAATATCTCATTAGCAGAAACCCCGTTTAAGGGTTGCCTTCATCTCATGATTATGTGGGTGGCAGGTCGTAGGACGTTTTCCATTAGAAGTCTTTAGAATCGATAGACAGTCGGTACTTTATCATTATAAAACCAATGCCACGTGTCATTCGGTTATCAAAGATCCGTATAGGATTAGAATTAGAGGGGAAAATCTAAAGATAAATTTATAAATATTGCACGTATACGGCAGGTATATAATGTGTGTGTGTGTGTGTGTGTGTGTGTGTGTGTGTGTGTGTGTGTGTGTGTGTGTGTGTGTGTGTGTGTCACATATACACATATGATGACTACGTGTGTGCGTATGTAAACACACATATATGCTTACATATATATGATGACTACGTACATACATTTAGAAGTGAATTTTGCAAAAAGGCTACTATAACTTTAACGTTGACTGACTTGTTGAACAAGATTTTACAAACCAGTGCTTAATTCCAAACCCTTAGATGTCAAAATAGTTCGCAAAAATTATGTTTCATATTCTTCAAGTTATTTACGTATAACTTAATATTACAGAATCATTAATATATTTTTTTCTCAGAAAATGGGATCATTAACTCGGCGACGTAATCAACATTTACTGCCATGCCTTCACAAATTTACATTTATTTTTCCACAACTGCATAAAAACGTAATATAAATGGTATTAAAGGGGAAAATGAAAGGTTGTTTTCACCACAAACTTCAGAGTGATAGCGAAGTTACGGTGGTAATAATAATGATAGAAACAATAATGATGATGATAATAATAATAGTAATAATAATGGTGGTAATAATAATGATAGAAACAATAATAATGATGATAATAATAATAATGGTGGTAATAATAATGATAGAAACAATAATAATGATGATGATAATAGTAATGATAATGATCATTATTATTATAATAGTAAGGATGATAATGATAACTGATAATGTTGATAATAATAATAATGGTGGTAATAATAATGATAATATTAATAATAGTAGAGATGATAATAATGGTAATGATCATAATGATAATAAGGATAATGAGTATAATTTTGATGATGATGATAGTGATAGTGACGATAAGATAAACACAATGTCAGTAATAATGATAATGATGATAATAATAATAATGGTGGTAATAATAATGATAGAAACAATAATAATGATGATAATAATAATAATGGTGGTAATAATAATGATAGAAACAATAATAATGATGATAATAATAGTAATGATAATGATCATTATTATTATAATAGTAAGGATGATAATGATAACTGATAATGTTGATAATAATAATAATAATAATAATGGTGGTAATAATAATGATAGAAACAATAATAATGATGATAATAATAATAATGGTGGTAATAATAATGATAGAAACAATAATGATGATGATAATAATAATAATAATAATAATAATAATAATAATAATAATAATAATAATAATAATAATAATAATGGTGGTAATAATAATGATAGAAACAATAATAATGATGATAATAATAACAACATCACAACAACAATAATAATAAAGGCGATATTACCAACACTAGTCAGGATAATAATAATAATGGTGGTAATAATAATGATAGAAACAATAATAATGATGATAATAATAATAATGGTGGTAATAATAATGATAGAAACAATAATGATGATGATAATAACAATGATATTGATGATAATAATAGTAATGATAATGATCATTATTATTATAATAGTAAGGATGATAATGATAACTGATAATGTTGATAATAATAATAATAATAATGATAATGATGATAATAATAATAATGGTGGTAATAATAATGATAGAAACAATAATAATGATGATAATAATAATAATGGTGGTAATAATAATGATAGAAACAATAATAATGATGATAATAATAGTAATGATAATGATCATTATTATTATAATAGTAAGGATGATAATGATAACTGATAATGTTGATAATAATAATAATAATAATAATGGTGGTAATAATAATGATAGAAACAATAATAATGATGATAATAATAATAATAATAACAGTAATAATAATGCTGACGATGATGATAATAACAATGATATTGATGATAATAATAGTAATGATAATGATCATTATTATTATAATAGTAAGGATGATAATGATAACTGATAATGTTGATAATAATAATAATGGTGGTAATAATAATGATAATGACAATAATCATAAAAATAATGATATTTAAAGTGATAGTGATAATAACATCAATAATAGTAGAGATGATAATAATGCTAATGATCATAATGATAATAAGGATAATGAGTATAATCTTGATGATGATGATAGTGATAGTGACGATAAGATAATAAACACAATGTCAGTAATAATGATAATGATAATACTACAATGATAATTATGCTGATACTACTACTACTACTATTACTTGTACTACTACTACTCCTAATGCGAATGATAATAATGATAATGATGATAATAATAACAATAACAACAACATCACAACAACAATAATAATAAAGGCGATATTACGAACACTAGTCAGGATAATAATAATAATAAGGATGAAAATAATGATAATGCTAATGATAAAATAATAAATAGTGATAGTAATAATAACAATAATGACAATAGTAAAAATAATAATAATTATACTGATAATATCAATAATGTGAATGATGATAATAATAATGATAAAGATAATAATAATAATGATAATGTGTTTGCAACAACAATATGATAATAATAATAATAATAATAATAATGATAAAATAATAATAATATTAATAATAATAATAATAATGATAATGAAATAATAATAATAATAATAATAATAATAATAATAATAATGATAAAATAATAATAATAATAATAATAATGATAATAACGATAATAATAATAATGATAAAATAATTATAATAATAATCATTATTATTATTATAACAACAACAATAATAACAAAAATAGATGATGATAACGATAATGATATAATAATCATGACTAACATTATTATCAATATCAACATATTTGAAACTATGATCTTGCTATCGATACAAATGGAAATAACTTTTTTTTCCTCAGACATAGCGCACAAAGGTAGTATGGTGAAGGTCAAACGTTTACTGGTCCCCCTGAAAGTGGGGATGGCCTTTCTGTGTCTCATGGCCCTTGCAGTCCTGAAGGAAAAGGTCACCTCCTCATCACATTCCCAAGTCTTGGACGTTGAAGATCACGTTACTGAAAGAGATGATCTAGCTGCACTCCGTTTGGAAGATGATTCGACTCTTCCGTTTTCTCTACTCAAGACTGGGAACTCTGTCACTCTCCCCCCGCTCAGTGGTTGGGATTCAGCTACGTTCTCCAAGCCTCAGGATCTTGCTATGGTGTCCCGGTTCGAGTCTCATGATCCTGCCCAATCGCCCCAGTTTGAGTCTCATTACCCTGCTAAATCGACCCAGTTCGAACCTCAGGACACTACTAAATCGACCCAGTTCGAGTTCCCCCGGTCTGAAGTCCAGGCCTCTGTCCCATCCTGGCAACCCTACGGAGGACTGGCGCCAAGGGGGAACCCAGCGATGACTCCAGGACGACGAGGTGAGGTCTACGTACAGCCCATGCAGTGTTATAGTGACAGTATAGGCTGCGTGCCGTGGTGTTAGTATGGGTGGTTTGCTGTGGGACATATACGCGATAGGCACATCATTAAGTGATTTAATAGTTATAGTGTCAATACAGATGATTAAGTGAATCGGCGGACCACGATTAATTTGCTTCCCCAGCCTAATGTTTCATATGAATTAAATTGAGTAAGAATATTAATCAGGCAGTACCAATGTACACCCTTAACATTTCAATTAATCCTTTTACGTGTGTTATGTTGCGAATATTTTTTTTTCCTACATATGTGTGTTTTAATGTGTAAATTTTAGGCAGAATATTATTATTATATATCAAGCCCGCCGTAGTGTTTGAGTTTGAGTTTAAAGAGTCTCTTATCTATCAATTAAATATTCGAATGTGTGTCTTTTACCCATCACTGTACCACAATATCTTATTCTCCCACTGTTAGTCCTTCATTTGCTCGATAAGGTTTCCTAACACCTTTCTTACAGACATTCTTAATCCTCGTCCTTACCTCCAATTTTCCTTCTTTAATTTACCTCTTTCGCCCAATATTAAGCACAGTTTATATACTCTTCTGTGTTTCTAGAGTTGATCCTGAGGCCTGTGTACCCGCGCATCGTCATCTACAACCGCGTTCCGAAATGTGCGTCAGCGACTATGTTGCGAATCTGCGGAAGGTTCGTTTTGCGCTTGAATGTAAAGTCAAGTTAGGTTCTTATTTCTTTCTGTATCGTAAATATTCATGTAAAGAAGCATAAAGAGGCAGTTTGTGTGTGTGTGTGTGTGTGCGCGCGCGCGCATTTGTTTAAGATCATATGTTTATGTAGCTTATATGTTAATGTCTTCTTCCTTCCGCAGAGCATTATCCCAAGTACTATATCACTTTTAAAATATACATGCTATCATACTCTTTGATTCCTCTAGATACCTTTTTGTATCAGCTGATCGATAATGGCCAACCTATATTCCAAAATTCTTGCTGGGAGATCCTACAAACCGCAAGATTTTTTTTTTAATCTCTCAATTATCCAGATGCTAATAAATTTCTTTTCCGGAATTAGGATATTACCAACTGCTTTATCCTGTGTGATTTTTCCAACATCGAACACAATTCTCACCCAGTACCTCTTTCTCTCTGCAACAAAACCCCACGATGATTCCAAAATTCAACATTTGCCTATCTACAGATCTGTTAAATGAATGAAAGACCATCACCCACCTTTAACAAAATGACCCGTTACCCACACAGCTTATCGCAAAAGAATGGATTTACCTTCAACAATATGAAGGTGACGGGCAGTAGCCACAAGGAAAGGGCACAACAGAAGAAGCTTGCCAATTGGATCTTTAATAGGCCTCTTCACGGACGCCACTTCTTCTTTAAGCACATCACATACCTCAACTTTTCGAGGTTAGTGTGCTAAGGTCGGTGTCATGTTCTGTTTTACAAGATGCCCATCAACGTCAAAGATGAACCGGACTTTGGTAAATGTGTCCCGAAGTGTTTTGAATTAGCTGAATTAAGGTAGACTTAACAGGTATTTTTGTGGATATTTTCATGGTTTGATCAGTATATAGATATTAAAACAGAAAAAAGAAAGAAAAGAACAAAAGAAAAGAAAAGAAAGAAAGAAAAAAATATATATACAAATAACCAAGAAAGGAAAAGGATAGATTTGGCCAAAGATAATAACACGGATCTGAAACCTAAAGCCCGCCTTGTGTTCTCAGGTTAGGCTACTGGGAGCCTCGTTGGATCAACATAGTACGCCATCCAGTTAAAAGACTGATCAGCCATTACTATTTCAAGAAGCCGCTGCAAACCTTGGATGTCTGCATCAACACCGGAGTCTGCAAGTTTGAAAGGGGAAAAGAGAGGATAATTTCACAGATATGTTACTTCTGTGGGTATAACACTCAGTGTAGGTGAGTAAAAAAAAAATCGTTAAATTTGAAAATATTGCTGGTTTGCCTAATTCGCCCTTCAAGGTACCTTAATACGTATACGTTTCGTGACGGTACTTAATATCAAGCTCGTTTTAACCTAACCTAGTTTACTAGATTCTCTCCATTGTTGACATCAAGGTCGAAACTTACTTCGCAAACGTTCCAAATGGCTAAGCAAGTGGTTGAGAAAGTCTTCGTGGTTGTGGGACTCCAAGAGGACCTTCACAACACGCTTCTTGTCTTGGAACACCTGATACCCAATTTCTTCTCAGGCGCTTCGACATTGAGTGAGTTTGTACTAACCGTGCTCTAGTTTACAATCTTTATTTTGAAATTTAGGTTGGAATTTTATGATATATGTACCCGAATGTGCATTTCCGAGCAATCTGACGAAGATATTTTAACTTACCAATAACTATTTAGAAAGAGAGACACACCGTCGTAGACTAACCGAGAATAAAACCCACATTTAATTTCAATTCCGCCTACCATTTGCCTTTAGTGACCAAAAACTCTTTCCCTATTAAGAAACACATTCTTAGTCCCCGTCCTTACTCCCATTTTTCCCTCTTTAGTTTCCCTCTTTAGCCCAATATGAACCAATGTTTCGAAATCCCCACAGATTACGAGAATTGGAACATTCAGACCTCGAAGCCATCGACCTCCAACAGGACATTGGCCGTACTGGAACGCAAGCTTAAAGTGGACCTTGATTTTTACCATTATCTTCAACAGCGATTCTACAAACAGCTGGAAGAAGTCAAGAAACATACAGAGGTTTTAAGATAAGAATAATAATTGATGTTATCATGTATTGGCATGTTTTTTTAATGTAATTCTGTAATGGTTCATAAACGTTCACAGATGGAAATGAAGGACCATAAACCCACTAATAAAGTTAACACAATTGCAAGAGTTTTGATTACATTTAACAATACAATGTAAGTAAAGGCTATTTTACGCATTTCCTCTTGTTACACGTTTGGCATTCTTGTAACAAATATCCAAAATAGGAGAAAAAAATACTGAGGATTGTTGCTAAATTACAGTAAGTAAAATCATTGTGATTTTGTACAAAAGATGAATGTGTATGAGCAATAACACAGAATACGTAGTCATATCCCCGAGAGAATGCATGTTGCTGAAACAGGCACACACACACACATATGTGTGTGTGTGTGTGTGTGTGTGTGTGTAATCAGCCGAAATGTATATGTTAGTAAGTGTGCACGTGTATGTGTGTTTGTGTGTGTGTGTGTGTGTGTGTGTATGTGTGTGTGTGTGTGTGTGTGTGTGTGTGTGTGTGTGTGTGTGTGTGTGTGTGTGTGTGTGCATGTGTGTTCGTGCGCAATATGTATGTGCTATTCAGAGATTAATCATGAATAACGCTTGCAAGCCTAAATTTGCGAATCCTTTGGACGGTGGGCATTCGGGTGAGATGCAGCCGTGTCTTGGCGTCCTTGCATGAGGTTGATTTCTTCGTGAGGTTCGCCTCTCTCCTCGACAGCCTCTGTTGTGGAGAAATGTTCATTGTTTCAGAATATTTAATATTTTTCCCCGTTTTCAAAGAGCAAGTGTGTATTCTAAGTAGCATATAAATTAGATGAACTGTTTTGGTCATTTGAAATTATTTTTCTTTATATTATATCAAGCTTATATTTTATGAAGTAATCAAGCTTATATTTTATGAAGAAAAATAATAACTTATAATGATATAACATATAACATTTATGGTTATTCTAACGGCGTAATGATACTTTGCACCTTGTTTTTAGTATGTAAATGGAAATTCAGAATGTACAGTAGGCCTTTCTATGTACATTTTTCTCCCTAAGATAAGGAATTAAGATAGTGTATAAGAATATAATATAAAGATATAACCACTGAATCTGTACACGGCCGATAGTGAGACACTACGCATTTAATTATCAGTTTTAGTAGATAATAAGTGAATTAATATAAAAAAAACAAACTGTATAGATGAATGAGTGAATAAATCAATAAAATACTGAGTGACTGATTATGCCAGCGTATGCACCTCCTTAACATAATGCAACGGTTTCGCGGACGCTTCCAACCAAGGCACTGAAGTCTGGATATTAATTATTTTATGCCATTGGCAACTTTGTCGTAATGTCGATGCCTTGACACGAAGACGCTATACGAGGTTCATAGTGTCTAATTTTCGCTTATGTCAAAACTAAAATGAATGATCTACAACTCGTCTTAGAACGAATACTAACCCGATGCCCTTTACAAGCCCCCCAAAACTTTTTAACACATACAACCCCTTTTTAACACATACAATTCAAATCTTAAAAAAAAAAATACGAAGCAGATTCACTCTTACTCGAGACACACACGAACCTACGATCACAGTTACCTCTCTGTGGAATTCTTTTCCGCAGGTAGAAATAGTGAACCAAGACGTAAATCTTTAAAAAAAAAATACGAAGCAGATTCACTCCTACTCGAGACGCACACGAACCTACGACACAGTTACCTCTCTGTGGAAGTTTTTTCCGCAAGTAGAAATAGTGGACCACGACGTAAAGGACGCCGCAGACGAACGTGCCGGCGCTGAAGGTCCTGAAGGCAGCGGGGAAGGACATGGCAGCGATGAGGTACCCGCCGATGAGGGACCCCAAGCCGCGTCCTGATGAGGGGGACTTCGTTATGACTCTTGATATATTTCTTTTTCTAAATATGATTTGATATCAATCACAAATTCGTTGTGTTAAGAGAAAGGGAGAGAGAGAGAAAATAGAAAGAGAGAAAGAGAGAGAGAGAGAGAGAGAGAGAGAGTGAGACAGACAGACAGAGAAAATAGAAAGAGAGAGAGAGAGAGAGAGAGAGAAATAGAAAGAGAGAGAGAGAGAGAAAATAAACGTAGCGATAGAAGAGAGAGAGAGAGAAACAGAGAGAGAGAGAGATAGAAAGAACGAAAATAGAAAAAAAGAAAGAGAGAGAGAGAGAGAACCCCTTCGTGGACATACATATCCCCCCCCCCTCTCCCGCCAGACACTACCACGCATACCGAGAGAGAAGTGAATGGTGCCAGTGAGTGCCGTCATGGTTGCAAGAAGCCCCTTAGGTGCCAATACAGGACAGGAGGTCATGGCCGCGACCCACATCAGCTGATAGGTAATGATCTCAAACGCCTCGAAAATGAACACGAGCCACGGATCGCTGTGGAATAGTAATGACGATAACAAGCAATAGATAAGGTATGAAAAGGAGAGTAATTGATGTTTTAGAGAATTTGGGTAAAATTTATACAGAATGACTATTTTCTAGGTTATTTTTTTTACTTTATTCTGGATTGATCGTCTACCCAAAGATAATGATGTTAATAATTGTAGTTATGATGTGAGAGCAATGGCAATAGTGATGACAATACTGATGATACAGTAATGATAAATACAGTGACAATGAAAATAGGATTAAACAACAACAACGGCAACAGTGAATTGATAATAATTATGATAATAATAATGATAAGGGTAATAGGAATGATAATAATTATAATAATAATCATACTACTACTAATAATAACGATATCAACATTAACATCAATAACAGCAAAAAGGACTAAGCTCCGCCTACCTGATGTACGAGTAACCGATAAGCCTGACGGAGTACGAAAAGAAGGACAAGGCAAATATAGTCGCACGGCCGAGTTTGTGAATCACGGTGTCTGCGATGAACATCACTGGCAAACCAACTAACGATCCCACAGTGAGAGTTAAGCCTGCAAGAAAGGGGGGAGGGGAGGAAATGTGATAGGTTTAGGTAAATGTGTGGTGGTTGATTATCTTGTGTGTGTGTGTGTGTGTGTGTGTGTGTGTATCTGTTTGTGTCGAATATTTTGTGCACATTTAACAAAGATGAAAGGACTGTATGTGTGTGTGTGTGTGTGTGTGTGTATGTGTGTGTGTGTATCTGTGTGCGAGTATCTTTTTGTGTCGAGTATTATGTCCATATTTAACAAAGATGAAAATATTTTATACTTCCCAGTTTCACAAAACCACCATTTTTACTCTCTCCCAAAATCATTCAAAAACACATTACCCCAAGCCATTAAAAATGAACAAATAAACAAATAAACGAAAAAAAACAAACAGCTAACCACATAAACACATACATAAAAACCAACCAACAAACAAAACAATCAGACAAGAACAAAATCCTGAAGTCACCTCAACGAACTGAACACCAACCCTCACCCATAAGAAAAGTCGGAGCACCAAGCGTATCCAAGTAAAGGAAAAGGAAACTCTCAATGAAGCCCCAGTTGGTGCCCAGGAGAAGCACCATCAGGAAGTGGACGTTGATTTCCATCCTCGTCACCAGCTTCAGGACGTTTTTCAGGATATTTTCTTGGTTCTCTTCGACCTGGAGTTTTTGTATCGGGTGGAGGAAACGTGCAAAGGTATAGGTAGATACGTGTGTGGGTGATTATGTGTATACACAGACGTATACATAGATGCACAGCTGTACTATCAAATACATAGCCATATCCTGAGAGAATGCATGTTATTAAGATAGGCACACGTACACGCAAACACACACACACACACACACACACACACACACACACACACACACACACACACATATATATATACACCCGACATAAATGCAAAGATGATATATTCCGTACATCTGCGAGCATACTTATGATATATCCCATATTCCTTTACATAGTATACATTTAAAAAATCATGCACATTTTATCCAAATAATTCTATCCCGGAAAAAATACAAGCAACAACATAGGCCAAATGTACACCAAACCACCCATTTTCAAGCTATTCGTGTATTTATTATTTTCACACACCTGGAATTGCAATCTCATGACGAGCAGCCCGGAAACCAGCGTCAGAGCGGCTCCTAAGTAGAAGGCTGATCCGTAATCCGCCACACCTGAATTAATTACTTGTGATTATAAATGACGTGTCTAAGGGTCTTCTGTGGTGTAATTTACGAATGTAATGGTTTGCGTTATGTTGGTAATTTAGGAAATATGTTATAAGTTAGGTGGGGAAGTAGGGCTTGTAGTGGTATTGTGGTACGAATGATTTTTTAAAAATGTTTTTTTTAGGACAACTTATGTATGGTTAACAAATCGATGCCGAAAAATATATACAGCAAACGCTTACATATGACATCTTTAGTAATCAAAACAAAAGTAAAATACATAAAATCAGAAAAAAAAACTATCAGGAAAGGATCCTATCAGGAAAAAATAAACAAAACAAAAAATACAAACAAACAACAAACAAAACACCCCAAACACACACACACACACAAACAACAACTCTCGAAGGCAAAACCTGACCTGTCGACGCCTTCCTCCAGTCGACGATCGCGCCGGCCAGGAGGGGAATCGTCGCCAATCCCACGATGAAGAAGAAGCGTTGTTTGCCATAGTCGCCGCCGTGCTTCTTCGCCACTGCCAGGGTGAGGGCGTCCTGAGCGAGGCACGGATGGCAGGCGTTGTCAAGATGTTTGGGACGTTGGTGGGTATGTATATGTGTGTGTTTTACGTGTCTAATATCTAGTTATTTGTCTATCTGTTTAGTAATTTATCTTTCTGTACATTTTACCTATATATCTATCTGTTTATCTTTTTATTTATCTGACTATCAATCTGTCTATCTGCTCCTCTACCTGTTCATATATATATGCCTATACATACATACATATATACATACATACATACATATATATATATATATATATATATATATATATATATATATATATATATATATATATATATACATATATACACACACCTATCCATCCGCCTACCTATTTCTTAATATGATGCATGTTAATAATATGAAGCCAAAAATTTCAAGGCATTTTTCCTCCTTTTCGACCAATAGTCTCACCCTTTCGACTGTCTCCTTACCTCCAACAGCAAAACAGATTTCCAACTTGCCAACGCTCACTTACCATCATTGTGAAAAGCGACGCCATGAAAAACGTGGCGATCATTCGTAAGGCAAAATAGATCCAGAACGTAGCGGACCCGTCGCCCTTACTGTCGTCGTCTGGGCGGTGGCACTCGAAAGACCCCGTCGCTTGGCACTCGATGGGGCACTCGGAGGGGCAGACCATTTCCTGGAATACCTCTCCTTCGTGGATGATTTCCGTGTAGCTGCACGTCTTGCCATCTTGGACTGAGGACACACTGCCGTTGATAATAATCTGTGCGAAGAGGATGGTAATGGCGTTAGGGATGTACTGATATATGCGTGAGGTTTCGTGCGGTTGTGATTCCATTTCGTTTGTGGGTTATTTTCTATCGTAGCTTTCCGTGAGGGCGAGCGGAGGAGTAGAAATGACCACCGATTATGTTTAAAAAAAAAAGCTGTCACTCTCCACTCTCACACGCAGAGAAGAAGACTAAGTGGAAAAAAAATCCTCACCTGGTCACTGATGTTGAAGCTGCGGCATCTCGGCTCGTGATCGCTCGGCAGACAGAGGGAGAATTCGGAAGGCGGGGGGGATTCGCAGGTGAACTTGCAATTCTGAAGAAATCATCGTTGCAATTGCTGTCGTCATTCTTGTTGTGTTTGATGTTTGTATTATGTTTATTATCGTTATTCTGATTACTGGTGTTGTTATTTTCTGGTATTAGTGGAGGTATCGTTCTTATTCTTATTTTCATTATCGTCATATCATCAACAACTACTATGACTTCTATTACTGTCATCAGCAGCAATAAAGATGATGTTATGATAATGTTAATGGTGATCATTGCTATCATTATTACTACCGTTGTTACTATCATTATCATTTCTATTATCATTATTATGATTATTATTATTATTATGTTCGCTATCATCATTACTATTACTATTATCATTACTATCACTATTATCATTATCATTACTATTATCATTATTACTATCATTGTCATCACTACCATCATTGTTATCATCATCATCCCCGCCATCAACACTTTACAAATACTACCTCAAGCACCAAGGACAGCTCAGTAGCGTTCAGGCGGTCACAGGGATCGCAGGCGAGCGAGGAGAGCGCGTGGCCATCCGGACCGCAGGAGAGAGTGAGCGCAGAGTCGAGGCGCGGAGGAACGAAAAGTAAAGCGATGTGGAAAACTAGGCAAAGCAGGAGACTCAGGAACACGGCGAGTCTGTAGTTGCCGGTTTTGTCGGCGAATAAACCTGGTTGAGCGAGGGAGGAACGAGGGTGAAATAAAAGAAAAGGAGGGGAATGAGAAATTGTAATGCGAGGGTAAGTAAAATGGGTGATATTTTTTTCCTCTCTGGTTTGTTGCTTAGATGGATGGAGATCGAGAATGACCGATTAACATTTGAGTGGATTCATCGTATTTGTTTTTTTTGCTTTTTTTAGTGAAAAAAGACACTCAGGAAACAATCAAACAAAAAAAAATATATAATAACACCAACATCACTAGTATTATTACAACTACTAAAACCTATCCACATCCACGCGTCTACACATACGATCTAAAACAAATTAATTCATAAAAGGCCAGCACCTGCAATAGGAGGCCCGAAGATATTGGCGAGGGGCAGGAAAGCCGAGATGACAGCTATTTCCTTGAGGGTGATGCCCAGCTGTTGCATGTGTAGGGTTAGGTACGGTAGGATGGAGGAGGTCCCTGTTAAAGAAACACTTATTTAATTTACTGTATTCGAGTATTGAGAAGTATTTAGCTATTTTTAGTTCAAAATTCAGCAAATCAAATCCATTAATGCTTAAAGATAAGAAAATATATGTATTCTTAGAAGACCTAACTGCCGCCATTAACAGCTAAAGCATAGTCCAT